TGGTACAGTAGAACAGAATGTGCAGTTGAATGAAAAAGACATGGAAGCGTCACAGAAGAGCAGCACAAGCCCCGCGTCAAACTATTACCATAACAAAAAACAGTAAGTTAAGTAATCAGTAGCAGTATTATAGTGGTATGGTAATGATAGCAGTGTATTTTATTATGTACCATGAACAATCAAAAGAGAGCAGAGAAAAGCGCAGAAATGATGATGATGAGTTGAAGTGAAACGAAACGATGGTAGTATGTGAAATATGAATAATAATCTATATGCAAGATGTGCAAAGGTCTGAGTACTGAGGTAAGGTTCAGGCTTCAGGCAGTGGTGCTACAAGCATGAGTTGACAGACAGCTGGGTGGATTGGTTGGTTGGATGGCTTGTGATGTGGTGATGAATTGGTTCGAGGACTGGATGAGAAAAGGAAAGGAGAAAGGACACGAATAGGAAAAGTGTTCACGATAAAAAGAAAGGAATGGTGGATGTAAAATGAAATAATGCGGTACGAACAACCATTCAAGTAGTAGTGCGCTGCGATGAGAATTAAGTGGTAGAAGAAGAGCAATGCAGCTTCTTCTCTTCATATTGATGTTGAAACGACAGACATGCAGTATAGTGCAATACTATCACAAATACACAAACGCACACCAAGAGCATACATTCTAGCGACTGTCTGCGAGAGCAGCGAGGCTTGGTGCTGCACAGTGCATGGCTGCTGATTGATTCGTCTCATTCGACCATGTTTTAGATAGATCATGTGCATTACACAATAATAGATTACTGTTGGATATCGATAATAGCAATCGTTTTAATGTGGTCGGGGGAGCACTGTTGTAATTTCAATATTATAAACTTGATACGGCACAAAGAAAGAGCATTTTGATGATTGTTGTTCACATCGAGATGATGATGACAGCGTTACGCAGCCAATTCAATACAGATATGAGAGAGTGTATGCAATAGTGATGCGTGTATATATCTAATACGAGATATGTGTATTTTGCATAGTATATATTAGCGTATTTCAGAAATTGATTTTATTTGACTCGTATACTGCTAGTAGAAGATGCACACAGAATGGATTTGCCTGAAGAAGTCACTTGCTATGGCTAGATAAATAGGGATGTTAGAGATATCGCTAGTTAGATATACACATTACGTGCAGCTCTTACAGATGAGATAGAAGATTAAGACGTTCGTATTACAGCCTAGTAGTGGCACTGCTACATTCTCCATTCAAGTGCATTCTCCAGTGATCTCTCGACTAGCATTTCCTCCTGCTTTCTGTTTCCTTTTGCTGACTTCGACATTCGCTGTTTGAGCACGATTCGTGCAATCTTCTCTCCTTACTGTATTGTTTTGCTGCACCTCCGCATCGTCTGCTCCATTCTTCCCTGTCTTTCCATCTCTTCCAAATTATACCTCTTCTCTCATCCCTTTTTCTCCATCTTCCTCGATCATACAAACGCTGCTGCAATCAGCCGATCCAGTCAATCCATCAGATCATTCAATCGAAATGCACTGAGCTGGCAGACGGCAGATAAGCAGAGAACGAGATGTATGATAGTTTGCATTTTGCTATGTATAAACTCGATTCAGTTTTACCATTCAGCAGTGGAAAGATAATCTATATATCTACCAGCTAGCTCTCATCACAGCTGCTGCGGATCGAGCATATGCCTTCCAAAACACGGTAAAAAGAGCACACCGTAAACTTTAAAAATCATCCACGCCAACCTGGCCCACATGAGCTGAATCTAGTCTGACCTCTCATTAACTAAGTCCGTTCATGAGCCTCAGCACGAGCCTAAGCCAAACCCTGAACATGATTCAATCTGATTAGGCTCTTTGTCACATTTTTGGAACGGTGCCGAAATTCGAGCGGTGTTTTCCGTTCGAAATAAGTCGACTTATTGCGTTCAAAGCAGCAAACCTATAATCACTACAGCAATGAAGACTTCGCTTTTTTGAATAGCGTATGCTCTCGCTAACTTTTGCATCGTATTACGGCCTCACATCCGACAAAGTGGAATCTTTTGGCCAGAGGCGACTGACTGGTCGGGGAGGGAAATGATCGGAACGGCACCCTCGGAGAGCAATTTATCCAGAGCGCACCTCAATCAAAAATTCGAGATGTGAGGTCGTCGCAGACCACGTTTCCCGACGAACACTACTCGGGATTTCTAGAGTCAGTGTGAGCGAACTGTCATTCAATCAAGCCGTTCTGGGTGAGCTCAGAAACAAAAAAGGAGATGGATACATTCGCAAAATGCCAGCCATGTGATAAAGCTTGACACACTAACACTAAAAAAAACGACAGAATAATGATGATAAAATCAAATGCACCTCACATCAGAACAACAGCCAATAAAAACCCAACAAGCATCATTCACTGATACGAACCAATAGCACGTCACTGATATCTTACTCTCACAAAGAAGCATCTTCAATGAACAAATCTTCCAGAATGAATAAGATTAAATAGATGCTCACTAGCATCAGTAAATCAACACATCAACGTAATAAAATATAGCGAACGTGCACACAAAAAAAAATTGTATATCACTTCCAATCAACAAATTGATTCTTTTCGTACCGCAGTACTGCAGTTCAGTGAAGATTTTCGGTTAAAATCCTCTTTGGTAAGCGAATGCTAGTTCGGCTATTATATTCAACGGAATTTGTTGCTTTTACTTTTATTGTTGTTTATCAGTCATCAACATTCACTGAATTTGCGGAAGGCAGCAGAACGTTTGCAACAACATCGTGTTAACTTGCACGCATCAACCTCTTTCAAGATTGAAAGAAACACTATCAGATTTCAATCGGTTACGAGAGCTGCTGTGCAAGTAATCTCCAAACAAAACAACTGATAAGGCAGTTACCGTTAGAATTACTGATTCAATAAAGCAATATTCCAAGCAAGAATAACTTCAATCAAAGACAGTGCATATCAGTCAAATCCATGAACGACGTAACAAAATACTTTATTAAGCAATTTCAACCAATAATTCAATCAATCACAAATATCAACAACAACAACGATATGCCCAAACGATGAATTAAAAACGTAACTTCGTGAAAAACCACTTATTTTTGCCCGTTTTATAACGCTCCTCAAATTTCGATTTCACCTCGAGACGCGCTTTACGTTTTTTGCCAGGTTCTTTCAGCACATCCTTATTTATTGAGCTCTTGTCCAGTGGTATATCCACTGAATATCTGAAATTCTATCAATTTCATTTCATGTCAGTGGTCTCTGTAACAGCTCAATTGATGAAGCACCCAACCCGTGACTAATATATCATGAGTTCGAAGCACACTCAAAGCTAAAAATTTAGTTGGGAAGCGAATGGTGAAGTTGTCACATCATTATCAAGATAAGATACCGATGATTTGCAACCAATTAAATGAGTTAGGTATGTTCAACATCCAATGTAGTAAATGTACAATAAAAAACTATGCTTCATAAGATCCAAACAACAAAGCTATGTTCTAAGGCAACTGATCCTCTTACTGTTCACACTGAATTATGGTCCTTCCACTCGTTGACGAGTGAAGGGGCCATAATTCAGTGTGAACATTAAGAGGATCAGTTAGAACATGAATCAGAACTTAGATCAGTTAAAACTTAGAACATGGCTTTGACTCAGGCTGACACCGTGTGAACAATAAGAAGGTCAGACTGACACCACGAATCAGAAGCACTAACCGTGTCGGTAATAGATTCGAATATCCAGCGATCCCGACGAATGGTCTCAACTTACTCCTTGCAGTCAACTTCTTCTTACCCAGCCTTTTCGTCACCTACAATCATACATTGCTCAATCCATCCATTATCATATCACGCCATCCGTTAACCATTACACATCAATACGAGTAAAAACCAACTGATTTCGGGTACTTATCAATGCCAGCAATCAGCGCATGGCCGTAAGCACGATCCGCAGACCCGTCGTCATAAGCCTTCACGATGATTGCCTTTCGCCCAGCAAAACGCCCACCAAGCACCAACACAACCTTACCGGTCTTCATGATCTTGCCCATTTTTAACGATCGATTACCGCGTTCAACACCAACACAAAGTTTACCTCTTAAATGATCGCAGTTAATAATGATACAACGAAGATGATGAAAAAACATGTCAATTACCAAAATGAAAAACAACATTAGCAAAAGTAATCAAGCATCAAGATATCACACCACAACATACTGATGGTTTGTAACATACTAAATAAGTCGGGCAAGGTCCACACCCATATTCATAAAATGTTTATTGATCGCAAATCAACGTCATTAAGACGAACGTGATAAAGTACAAACAATAGTGAACAGCATGCAGATGTCTATATAACATGATATAATACAATTCAATCCATAACCAAATTCAACATCCTCTACTGATCCATGAAAACTCTGCGTAACTTCTCTTTTTTACCCTTATTATGATGCTTCTTGTCATCTCTACCAGTACTATCGCTATGAACGCCTTGACGAGCCGTGCGAACGTGCGCCGCGCCTTGAGAAAGGCAGAAGAACTGCCTATCGAATGTTTTGTCCATGGTGCTGGTTCCTTCAACGAGATTCCGCTTCTCTAACTGAAATAAACACGAAATGATCGATGCCCAAATCAATAAATTGCCCAAATGCTCAAATCAATCAAAATAAATCACCTGTTGCAACAAAACAACTCCTCTATTGAGAGTGCCCGTTCCCTCAACTGGATATGTCATTTGATCGAAGCACTCCTGCTCCACACTTGGTGGAGAAGCAACCCACTTCAACCGGCCATTCACCACCTCCTTCAAAATCAATCGTGCTGCACGTGAGCAGTCTGGCACGCCTGACGCACCCATGAATCCTTAAACGTTATCATTTCAAACTTCAAATTATGAACTGCTAATCATAACTTAAGTACGCAACCTCGTATGAAAGCAACTGAAGTGAGCAGTTCCTGAGCAGTCGGTGGTCTATTCGGTGCTTCATGATCTGCTGGTTTCGGAAGCATGATTGAGTAGTGCCGTTCTAAATATCTTCTTGGTATGCGTGACACCAATAAGTTGATCGGTGCAAAATGATCACGCATATGATCCACAGATAGTATCCCATTCAACAGCATTTCGGAACGATTCAACGCAAACGATGGCATCACTAA